GAAAAAAAAAAAAGTACTTCTGAGCCAGAGTGTAGCAGAAAGAACCCCTGATCTGGATCAGGTTTTAGGATTCCACCTCCTACACTTAGTGCAGTGTAAAGATTTGGGGCTGGTCGCTCTGGGCAATTTCTTCACCTACAAGATGGAGATAGTAATACTTACCTCATTAGAGATTTTGTAAGGATGTAGTGAAATGATCATTGTAAAAGCGCACTGCAATCTCTAAAACGCTACACAAACGAGATTAACATCTATCCCCGGGCAGGATTCAAAGTCTCGGATGCGTACTCTGACTCCCGATAGGCCGGTCCCCTGGCTTGCTTCCTGGAAACCAGCGCAGGGCCTTCTGGGACTTGCAGTCCGGCCCTGCCTCTTGCCCGGCTTTCTCAGGGCGAGGGTAGGCAAATGCTTGTGGTTGCGGCGGCCCCGGAAGTACTTGTCCTTCAGAAACGGGCTAGTTAGGAAGGGGGGTCAGAGGTCACGGGGTTAGAAGGCGTTCCTGCCGCTGGCCAAGTTGCTTTGTAGTGGAGGGGGAGGCTCTCTCCTGCACGTTCTGGAAGGTTCTTGGGCTCGGCTAAGGCAGTAGTCCCAGGATTTCTAGTTGCCGGCTGCGAGTCCCTGCCGGCTGAGCGGAGCCGCCGCCGCCATGTTTGGCTGCCTGGTGGCGGGGAGGCTGGTGAGGATGGGACAGGGTGGTACCAGGAACGGGGCAGGACACCCAGGGCGAAGCCCCGGGAAGGGGAGGGCGCACCTTGCCGGGGATGCGGGGAAACCCCTTAGGTCTACTTTCTGGCAGGGAGTGTGAGGATGGAGAGTGGGACGCCGGCGTGTTCTTTCTCCTTTGCCCCCAGCTCTGCTCAGAGTCATTTGAATAGTAGTCACGACTTTAACTGCCATTTATCCAGTGGGCTTTGTATACCAGGCAATGCACGGTTTTTCTCCATATCTCATCCTTTCAGCTTTCTGTATAGCGCTTATTTGACAGCTTAAGCCTCCTGACTCGTGAGATGGTCATTATTCCTATTTTGCAGTTGAGTTAGGTTCAATCTGCAGTATAAATACTCACCTAAACTCATTGAGTGAGAGGCAACCAGGCGTTTGAATTTAGTCTGTAACACCGTTTCTTAAAGATTAAGGTGGGTGATGTCTATCTACTGGGTCCTTTTGGAATGGACCCTACTGAAAACGTACTTACCGTAATTGGAAGTTGGTTGATAGAGAAACGACTGAAATTCAAATGACCCATAGTTTAGATGACCCTAGAAGGATGTGAGTAGCGAAAATCCTTGTTGGTCGAAAGAGATGACCTACTTTGCTAGATTATTAGAATTAAATGAGATCAGCACCTGAAATTATTACGGAATAATCTGGAGAGCGAAGCTTGGTTGCCCCTTTAGAAACCACCCAGAAATCCGTTTCAGACCTGACTCCTTTCACCTAGTTCTTTTTCTTTTATTCTCCCTGCCTTGTTAAATGTTGCAACCCCTTCGCTGAAGCGTTTTTAAGTTTTTCATTAACTTTTGATAATGTGTACTGTACACAGTTACAAGGAACCAAAAAGATAAATTAGAGACAACTAGCTTCAGAAAGTTTATTGTCTGTGTCTTGAATGATTGGGAGGCTCCTTTTGGTGACGGTGGTAATTGATAATACTGGTGGGGTAATTTTGGATTGACCTTGCTTTTGATAGGAAAGATGAAAGGACCAGCTTGGGATGAGTGTGAAACTCCAATGAACTGAGTGTCATTAATGACTGACATTTAAAATGTGTGTGTGTGTATTAAAGAATAAAAAGGCCATATGGAATCCATGTATCTCTCGTGTTGTCAACTAATTTGGAAGGAAATATGGTTAGAGCAATACCTGTGTCTGTTTAACAACCACTGTATATACAGTAGAGGTTCCTTCAAGGCAAGATTTTTTTGGGGTGTTAGACTCTTTGAATTAGGACTTGTTAATCAAAATGAAGGGCAAATAGACCTAGTGACATCTCAAAATTAAATTATTCTTTTACTAGAAAAATCTACTTATCTAAAGTTATGAACTCAGTTTTCATTCCTTGAAAAAATTTTTTTAAACTAAAATGGTACCATTTTTCCTAAGGTCAAGTCTAATGCCTGGCACAGAGTTGGCGTTTAAAAAAGTATTTATTTTACCTGGTGGCTATTTCAAGACTTGCAAATTCCATAATGTTATATGCCTCTTAAGATTATGTGCATGCCCAAAACTGGTGAAATTAAATGTAATACTATGAGGCAGTTTGGTTTATATTTATGTTCTTTCTTTGTTTTATTCTCTGTTTTTAAACAGGAGGGTTTTTAATTGGGTCTGAAAACTTCAGAAGAGGGGATCAGAACTTAACTTTAAGAACACTCATCCTTAGTCTCTTGGGAATATTACTTTATCAATAATACACAAATATAGTTACATAGCCATATAAATTTTTTAAATTACCTTGTAGTGGTAGATAAGATAAAGGAGAAAAATAAGCATTTTAGTAATTATTAGCAAATATTAGGAAAAGAAAAGTTCTATTCTAGGTAGTAAGAATTAACCAATTAGAGTCTTCAAAAATACTGGCTGTAATTGAGATCTGATGTTATGGTGAATACAGTGGCAATAGCAGTTAAAAATAAAACCAGAAAACTTACACTATGGACCTAAGTGCTCTCAGAATTAATACTCTTTTTACTAATGGATGTGATATACCAATATCAGTTTTCTAAAAATGTGAAAGGGAATTTTCTCTGTGAAAGTAGATTTCTCAAACTTCAAAATATGGTCTCATCCTATAAACTGATGTTCAATTCTAGAACAGATAGATTATGATATGAGTTAAGAGGAAATTTACAAGTTCCTACTTAGCACATTCAAGGTAGAATTTTTGCATATTATGTACAGTCAGTTCTTATTATTTGCAGTAGTTATATTCTCTAAAGTCAGTATGAACACTAATTGGTAAATACTGAATCATTGCCCATAGGGGAAATACAGGGTTAGATTCCTGAAAGTCTCTGATCACATTTTTTATTACCCTATCATTAGGTAACCTTGTATGTTTGTTTCTGTTTAAATACATCTTATTTCATATATATTGTTAATTTGTTAACTCAGAGCTAAGAGCACTATAATTAATTGATGAATGAAACTTATATACCATGTTTTCTTAGTAAGGCTCATAACAGTTCCTAGTGGGCTTAGAACACTAGCCAGCATTCCAACTTGGTGATTTTAAACAGCAAAATCATGAACAAAAACAAAATGCAGACAAATGTAGCACTGAAGAGAGTGAAAAGTACATTTATTTACAGTATGAGAGCTGAAACAAGAAAGCACACCATAGCTGGGAATGTATGCATCAGGCAACTCAAAATTTGTGCTGCTTTGCACATGAACATGTTTATGAATTACATGAAAGTAATTTTAATTGGATCTGAAAACTTCAGAAGAGGGAAAGTAAATAAATTTTAGTGAGGAGGCAGATTAGCAAATATGAAATCTGCAGATAATGAAGACTGACTAATTCCTTCTGGATTGATTACTCATTTTAATTACCTGAGATTCTTTATCTTCACTCTAGAGGATAAGGCTTAATGGTGTTTTGAACAACCTTTCATTTTTACAGCATTTTGAAGCCGTGGTGATTTATTTATGTAAGTAAAATCCTTTCAGGGCATTTCTGAAATAATGTAGTTATATTTTTAAAAGGTTACATTCGTTAAATGATTCTTTTAAAGCTAAATATATATTTTTGGATTCTCTTTAACACTGGTTTGTTTGGAAATTCCATAGAGTATCAGATAACCAAATGTTATACTTGGTGTAATGACTATAATTAACTATACTTGAATAGAGTTTACAGCAGTACTATAAAGGTTATAGAAACTCATCAAACTATTGAAATAAGACGAGTTTCTTATTTTCTAGGTGCAAACAGCTGCACAGCAAGTTGCAGAGGATAAATTTGTTTTTGACTTACCTGATTATGAAAATATCAATCATGTTGTGGTTTTTATGCTGGGAACAATCCCATTTCCTGAGGGAATGGGAGGGTCTGTCTACTTTTCCTATCCTGATTCAAATGGAATACCTGTATGGCAACTCCTAGGATTTGTCACGAATGGAAAACCGAGTGCCATCTTCAAAATTTCAGGTCTTAAATCTGGTAAGAATCATACATTAAAAATTCTTTCATAATCAAACTTCCCTTAAATAGCATAATATAGAATATGGCTTTTTAAAACTTTTCATTTTGTTTTCTGGTTGCTAGATTATAATATATATATTTTTTAATCGGCTGATACCTGAATGTTAGAAAAATAGTAAGTGAAAGACCTCCTTGGCTGTTCACACTCGCACCCTTTGCAACTAGAGAGAAGCACTCAGTGTGTTCTCTTCGTATATACCTTAGTAAAGGGATTTTTCTTAATTAATGGGTATTTTAATAAATAATGACAAGGAATCTTCGAATAATTTGTAATGTGAATATCTATATTTTAAATAAAGATAAACCAAGTAGACTTCCATAGAAATAAAATGAGTCCTTTTTTTTTTAATGAGGATTTTTGAACTCTTAGATTTGACTACCCCCCAGTGTTTTTCTATTGGTTGTATTGACATTACGGATGTTAGACCTTACAGGGTCTTGCTTTGATGCTAGGGATATTTTCTGAAGAAATGTGAGAACAATACTTAGGTACCATTTACTACAATTGAATCTCAGGTTCCCTTGAAAATCTAGATGAACACAGACATGAAAATTCTTAGTGTATAAATATACATTCTCCTAGAAATTGTCTATGGAGTCCAAAGAAAAATTGTATTTAGGCAACATGTTTATTTGACAAACATTTGGGTATCTACTTGGGGGATTTAAAGATAATGATAAGTTCTTGCCTGAGATAACTCATTCTTATGAAGGAAGATAGTTCTGTAGACCAGTAGTAATTAGAAGGGTGAAATGTAATACTGGTTTATTTGTGCAAAATGCTGAGGGAGAATAGAAAAGGGAGAGATTAACTCTTAAATGGCTCCGAGAAGGTTTCCTGGAGGTGGCGATGTTGGTTCTCTTGGGAAGATTAAGTAGCAGTTTGTCAGGCCTATGAGAGGTCTGTTGGGCGTTCTTTTTTAGGTGGAGGTAATATGTATATAATGACTAAAGTTTGAAAGCATGGTGTGTTCAGGATGACACAAGGCAGGGTGTATCCCAGTAGGACAGGCAGGCGAGGATCATGAAAAGCTTTGTGTATTAATTACCCTGACTCATTTGAATTTAGTAAGTCAGCAATTTTTTTACCACTTTTTTTTATTAAGGTATCATTAACATACACTCGTTTGAAGGTTTCACATGAAAAATATTGTGGTTACTACATTCACCCATATTATTAAGTCCCCCCACACCTCATTGAACTCACTGTTGAAGGTTTCGCATGAAAAACATTGTGGTTACTACATTCACCCATATTATTAAGTCCCCCCACACCCCATTGAACTCACTGTTCATCAGTGTGGTAAGATAGGTCCGCAATTTTTAACATGCTTAGATCACATACTTCTTGGTAATATTACAAAAAGTATGTATAACGTAATGTAAATGCTAAAAAATTTGCATTTATCCTGAAGCGCATCCTTGTATCCCGTAGAAGATTGTTCCTATAGGTATAGAGGAGCATGTGAACAGTTTTGGGTAGGGCCGTAATGGGGTCAAATTTTGTTGCCTGAGGGTTGTGTGAAGAATGAAGCAGAGCAGTTCTGGCCAGATGATATACTGCGAAGGGCTATTATCTTATGTACTTGGAATTCTATGAGAACAAGTGAGAGAGAACGATATTTAAAGATAGCCATTGTTCAGAATTGATGATAAATGAAGTTGACCCTTGAATAATGTGAGGGTTGGGGCGCCAACCCTTGCACATTTGAAAATCTGCGTGTAACTTTTGACTCTCTAGAAGTTTAACAGTCTGCTGTTGACTGGAACCTGTACCAATGATATACACAGTCAGTCAAAACATATTTTATATGTTATATGTATTAGATACTGTATTCTTTTAGTGAAGTATGTACCCCAGAGAAAAGAAAATGTTTTTTCAAATTGTTGCATATCCCAAAAAAACTTAACAGAAAAAAGTTTTTTATTTACTTAAGAAAATCTGCATATTGAACTTGTGCAGTTAAAATCCAAGTTGTTCACGGGTCCCCTGCACTAATTCTAGATTTAAGAACTAGGAAAAATCTCTAGAGTACTTCTCATTATGGTTCCATGAGATAATTATCCCTAATCCCTAAGACAGTGACCCTTAAATCATTCCCTGGACCCAGCAGCAGCATCGCCATCGCCTGAGAGCTAAAGTGTATGGTTAGAAATGCAGGTTCATGGTAGGGACTCAGACCTGCTGAGTCAGAGACTGAGAGCAGTCCAGGTCTGTAGGTATTCATGTTGCACGCAGAAGTTTGAGAACAACTGCCCTCAAGCATCCACTGTGTTTAATGAATTAATGTCTCTCATAGCATGGAATTAGTTCTGAACAGTCTTTGGGAGAATTAAGAAAATAGTCATTTTCAAATCACTTTTTTCTGTGGCTGTGTCTAAAAATAAATAGTGTATAAGTAGAACAAATATAAGTAGATAATCCAATATATTCCAGTGTAATTCTTGGGCAGTAAATATGAAATAATAAAGGAACCAGAGAGAGAAGACTAGTTATTTATAACTGAACAGCAATTAGTTTAGCAGATTTATCATGACCATGAGTAGAGGCCAAAACCAACAGATTAATATATTCAAAGTGCCAAGGAAAAATAAAACTGTCAAAACTGTCATTCTAAAGTAAAGGAGAAATAAATATACTTTCAGATGGACATGGAGAGTTTCCTACCCATAGACCAGTACTGAAAGAACTGCTAAAGGTAGTTGTATTTTATAGTAGGAAGTTGAACCCAGAATGTAGAAGACGAAGCAAGCCACAAAGTTAACAATTGGTAAGCATATAGACAAATCTGGTTAACCTGATTCTGTAAAATAACACAATAAGTAACTTAAATGCATAAGAATTAAATACTGTACTAGAAAACAATGCATAAGACAGAAGTAGTAGTGATCTGAGTTAAAGCTTTCTGAGGTCCTATTGTTTAGAAAGAGTAATAACATTGATTCTACTTTCAAGTAATTATGTTAAAAATACAAGGAAAATAAAAAAAGAAGGGGGAAGTCAAAGAAAAAGCGTATATTAAAAATAAACAAAGATGGTGGAAATGATTTAATCTATATTGGTTACCAAAATAAATGTAAACAAATTAAATTTACCAGAGGAAAAAAAAACATGCAGACTCTAGGATGGGATTTCTTTTTAAAGGCAAATAAATAATTATATTGCTGCTTTATGAATAATGGGTCTAAAGCATTGTAACGCAAGAAACAAAAAAAGCTGTCATGTGTACATTTAAGAAAAATTAGACTAAAGCAAACATTGTTAAGAATTACGAGATTCATTCACTAGGAATGAAATTAGGAAGACAAATATTTCTAGGAAAAGGTAAATGTCATGAATTTGTGTGGATGTAAAACAACTTCAAAAAATGCAAAGAAAAAATACTGACGTTAGAATGATAAATGGACAACCTTACAATTAATGTTTTAATACACCACTTGATAATTAATATATCAAGTAAATTATTAGTAAAGATGGAAGATTTGAATAAGAGTTAATAAGCTTGAGCTTATGGATACTTACAGAATCCTGCAGTTAATAATCAGAGCTTACACATTTTTTAAACACACAGAACATCTATGAAATTTGACCACGTACCAAATCACAAAGCAAGTTGCAGCAAATGGCAGATAATCAGTATACAACCTACAGTGCAGTGTAATTACAAATTCATGAGGTAAAACACTGTCATGTTTAGAAATTCTCCCTTCCACATGTAACTATCAGGCCAGGTGGTTTACAAAGTTCAGCTAAGCCTTTGGGAAACAAATTGTTTGTATCTTACATAAACGGGAGAGAATAGGAAATGAGGCAAAGTTAACCAGTTTGTATTTTTTTGAAGCTTATATAACCTCTATACCAAAAAGGGCAAGAACAATATGAGAGAGGAAATTTGGCCTATGTCAGGTTTATTTATTTAGGATTTTAATATCTGCATTAAAAAAATAGTTACAAAGTGAACTCAATGTATGTTGAATTTTAAAAAGTTTTAAAACTTTTGTTATGGAAAACCAAAGCAGATGCAAAATCAGATTAAACAGAATATTGAACCCCTCTCTGCTCACACACCCCACTTAAAAATGACCAACTCATGGATAGTGTTATTTCTTTTAGATTCCGATTCTCCCTTCTCATATTATTTGGAAGTATATTCCAGAATCACAACATGTAAGGTATAAATATATTAGTATGTGACTATAAAAGACAAGGCATTTCTCTTTTTAAAAAAAATACAACTGTAGTGCTGTTATTACACCAAAAAACTGTAATTCCTTAATATGGGATTGAGTATCTAATCAATGTTCAGATTTCCAATGGTCTCAGAATTTTTCTGTTTATATATTTAAAAATTTTAAATACTTACTTTGCAATAGTTGATCTCTCAAGTATCTTTTATAAAAAGAAAAGGTTTAATGTTTTCTCTGCCCTCTATTTCTACTAAGTTAGTTGGATTTAGAGGTTTGATCAGACTTCGAGTTTATTTTTTAACAATTTTGGCAGATTATAGGATAGTGTTCTTTAATCAGAAAGCACATATATGTTCTCTTTTTGTGAAATTATCAGCCATTTTTATGCAGTCTTACATTTTTTAATTCAATAGGGATTCAAAATGATGATATTCTAATTCTGTTATTTTATCATTTGTAAAGAGACATTTGTGTATGTGCTATTTGATTACCTAGGGGTAGAGTCATTATAGGAAAGGCACCATAAATGCTTGATTCTCTTAATTACCAGTGTTCAAAAAAAATGGATTGATTAATGTCCTCCAAAAGTAATCAATAATTTTTTTAAAAGAATTATGAAATGATGGAGATATATTTGTATGGGTGTGTATGTGTATATATTTATATTTGATGCATTCTGACCATTGGTACACCCTTCGGATCCTTTGGACCTAACTTTAACTTTTCAGGTTTTTTTAGGCAGGTACTGGTATTTCACAGCTTTTATCCTT